AAACCAGCGAAAAGCCACCCAAGAAGAAGCCACCACAAAAGGTATGCATAGGCTAGGAGAGGTAGAAAAGAAAACGAAATATGCATAATGTTTGTTTTAAGGTGCCCTAGGCTGATACACAAGTGTTCGTAACAGCCGGTACTGCAGTGCCTGGGCACGTTGCGGTCGAATGTGAAGACGAGTAGTTCGATTCTCTTCTGGTCCGCACACATTTACGAAAAAGGATTCCATCCACAGTAGGAGTGATTTTGAGGAATTCCGAATTTTGGCAATAAATCTATGCTACTTATGAAGTACCACTGAAAGTTATTATGTGCTGTTAAAAATAAAAATCAAACTACGAGGAAAGTGTGCGACTAAAAGCTGAGACAAAACAAAGCGGAACAAACGCAACAAAATACAGTGAAAATCGAAGCAAAATTCCGAGCTAAATTTGTTCAGGTCATTATGAAATGGACGTTGTGTTGCTAAATAAACGAGTTTCTGTCCGCTGTTTCACTAATAAATAATATGCAGCAGTTCAACAAAGCGATCGAAAAATACTTTTTTAGCCTTTTCCTCACTTCTATCAACAATCTCTGTGAAAAAAACGGAAAAATTCGATTCAAGTGATAGCCCGTAAAGCAAAAAAACAATTTTCTTACATTCACCTTTTTCGATGATTGCTTGAGAAGCAAACTTACTAAATATCATAGCTTTTTGAACAAACCAACAAACTGTGGCATGGTATAACAAATTCACCATGGAAGACAAAAGTGTATGAATTATCTAGAACCGCCGATACGTGCTGTGTTCTCGATACCAGTATACTGTAAACTTACGGTATTTTTTGTGTAAAATACCGTAATTTTTTCTACTGATAAAAACGATCAACATGCCTCATTGCTGTATTCTGAAATCATATCGTCGTACTCGCGCTCAATACAAATTACAATGAAATTGTAAGTCTGAATGTTGGCCATAATTGAAGCAAGACACAGTACTGTGGATATCAGAATAAAATATCGCATTCCTCGTACCAGACCGGACGATGTCGCAGCTACCGCATCCTTGCTGTTAATTGTCAAAGCAGTTACCGTATACTGTTCCTTCGATATCGGCATACTGTAAATTGACAGTATCGCGCTGTTTCGGATATTGTAGTGCTTTTATGCAGCAAAATGGATATCGTACAGTTTCACATTAAGCAACGAACAAAGTATTTAAAAAAACCGTACGCTTTTTCTAATTGGCCACTTTTTTAGTCAAATATGCGTATCAACATCTTATTCAATACAATGACAAATGTATATTGGTAAGGTTCAGAAAATTGGGCGCCAACTGAATGTGCTCTTCTTTATTCAAAATACCGTATTCTACCAAAAATGCCGTGCGTCATTTTTAACTGGACATTTTTTTTTCAATCATATTTGCGTACCATCTCTGAATTCACCATTTTTTCATCATAAATTAACAGTTTCTGGCTAAATTTCATACAATATTAAATGTGCATAATCAAGCCAAACTACAATAAGTGGATGAATGCAGCATTTTGCAAGCGAAACAAGCATTCACAATAACATTCGAAGATGGAAGGCATAGGAATACAAGTCGCATATTTAATGGCAAATGGGGTAACAGTTTTTGTTTCATCCCTTAGCCGCAAATACAAACAAAGCTCTGCGTAAGGGTATAACTGAGACTCATTAAGCACAGCCTCCTAACCAGCCATTCGTGGTTTTAAGCTACAATTGCTCCCTCATACTGGGTGGAAGTATATTAGGAAAAGGGGGTTCTAGATGCGAGAATAGGTCGAAGTCGTGCTATGTAAGAAGGAAAACGCGGAACTAATAACCGCAAATTAGTGAGCTATCATCACTTTTGCTATGAGAATACAAGAAGCAGTGCTGTGGAAAAGAAAGCAATTGTAAGTGTAACCGGTTATCAGAAACTGGTCTTGATCAAAATGCTTTAACCCCGAATTTCTTGACACTTCTGTCCGTCGACCTCTCGTCACCTCATTGCATGAAAACCGTCGAAGCGCTGCACCGTTGCGGAACAGCAAAAGGCAGCATGCAGTCTGTCCTTGGATGACGTTTTGGAGTGTTATTTCCTTCTGTTGGTTATCTCTGAGCTCTCTAGGCTGACCAGTTGTCCATTCTAAGACTGTAGGTAGCAGTAAAAAGGAGAAGGAGGAAGGAGAAATGGAGCGAGGAACGGAGCGAAAATCTCGAGTTTTGCAGAAAGGAAAAAAGAATCCTAAGCTGTTGCAATTAGCTGGCGAATGCTCGGCCTGAACAGTTTCAACATACTTCTTTTGCAATTGTCAGCTAAAATTATATCA